TCTATATTAATTTTTAATCATATTCAATTATTTATTTCTTTAGTTAATTTATGAGGAGGTTTTCAATTTCACCATAATGAGAAAGTAAAAGAAAAATGTGAAAGAAAACAAAAAAATTTTTATTTGATCTAAAAAAAGAAGAAGTATGTCATATAAATCAAAGTACCATTCAGAAGAAGATGAAGAATATGAGAAGAAAGATGAAGAAATAAAAAGGATGAATGAAAAGAAAAGTGAGGACCAAATTAAGGAGATAGAAAATCAGAATGACAAGAAAAAAAGAGGTATAACAAGAAATGGTTATAGAAGAACTTCGTCTACTGAAAAAAGTAGTACTAACCCCACTCACTCCAACGAAAATGTCAAATACCAACAAAAAGAAAGAGGGTCATTAAATAAAGTTCCAAAACAAAGTGTAAAAGTAGAAGAGAAACAAGAAAAAGAAATTGATGAAAAAAGTAAAAAAGAGATAAAAGAAGAAGAAAAAGTGGTGTATAAAAGTATTAAAAGTGATGAACTAAAAGAGTACCAACAAGAAAACAAAGAATTACTTATTAATGAAAATGACCAATTATCATATATTCGTCAGCAAATTAAAAATACTGAACAATTATTAGAACAATTAAAAAAAGAAGAACAACGACTAAAAGGAAAAGTTATAGAAGGAAAAAGTCAAATAACTCAAAATGAAAATATTGTGGTTGATGTGATGTGTGTTCTTCCAAATGGTAAACAAATTTGGATTAATATTAATAAAGATGACGACCCAAATCAAATATGTAAGAATTTATCAAATGAATACTTACTTTCGAAAGAGTCTGAACAAAAATTATTGAATTACATTATTGAAGCACAACATCAATAATGTTTTTTACATAAATTAGTTTCTTTTAATAACCTTAATTAATTTGTTCATAGACAAAAAAACAATATTGAAACAAAGTTACTAAGATTCATATTGAGGTAATTCAGGAGGTTCTCTTGATGGCGGTTGAAGTGTTGGATACATCGCACTAATTTTAATTAGTTGCTTTCTTTGTGGAGGAGGAATATTAGGTAAAGAAGGAGGGGCAATTCTATTTACATTAACATGTTCAGAGTTATCATCAACTCCTTCAAAGTCTTTATTTTCAAATTTTGTAGCACAATTCTCACAAACTCTAACAGGTTTAGAACTAATATTAGGAATAACAACTCTTCTCTTTGTACATTCAGCACATAAAACTCTACCACATTTTCTACAATGATGTCTTCTATTTAATAAAGTAAATTTTGAATGACAGTTCATACAATCTAAAACATTATCATCAGGTATCCATGTTGGGGCTGCTTCATTATCACTTAATTCTTCTTCAAATTCATATTTTCTTTCACCAGTGAATGCTTTATTTAAGTCCATTACCCATTCCTTCTTTTCATCAAATGTTTCTGCATAAACAACAACTGATTTTTGAAGTCCTTTAAGTTGAAATCCATTTTGACTAATATCAGAATCTTCTATATCTTTAACAGAAGTTAATTCTAATAATTGATGAAATTGTATTTTCTTTCCTTGCTGTTCACCATAAATTACTGTTGCATCATTAAATAAATAAAAGTACCTTTCTTTTACAGCTTTTCTACATTGTTTTCTTAAAATACCTTCACGTACCAAAGTACGAGGTAAAGTTTTTAAGTCATTTTCAGTTTTAGGATCTAAGTCAGTAAACATTTTAATAATATCTCTCATCTTTTGTTTATTATTTTCATTTGCAATAATTGCATTAACAGCTTTAGCATATGAGTCTAAATATCTTCTTACTTGTTCTGCAATAACTGCATCTGGATGATCTTTTTCTGTATTCTTGATATATTCTTTCATTAATAAAATATATCTAGGAATTCTTTGGACTGGGAATATTAAAAATGACATTAAATTTCCATTATTAGACAATGGATTTTCTTTTTGTGTTTCACAAAATTCTTCAAACTTCTTTTTTTTAGATAATTTATCAAATAATAATGATGCCTTTTCATAATTTTGAATATATGGACCAAAACGATTAAATAATGGTTTCTATTTTGTTATTTCCTTTTAAAAACAGTTATCAAATTATACAAATGAATTTCTTTAAAAACAATTATTAATAACAAACATTTAATAAAAATACATCACATATATTATCATTTAATGCAAATTCTTTTAACCTATCTTTTAACTGTTTTGTTAATTGATTAGCTCCATCTAATAACTCTTCTAGATTACAGAATAAACATTTCATATCTTCTTCACTTATTAAATCCATTCCTTTGAGTGGTGTAATGTATAAATCAACAACAGTTTGTAATGCCCGTGCATATGACTCTTCAGTTGATACAATCTCATTTACAACATATAATCTTTTTGACATTTTTTATTATCATTTTTGAGATTTTTTTCCCTTCCAAATTTTTCAGTTCTTCGTCTTTTTTTTTTAGTTAGAGCTTTTTACTTGTTTCTTCACTTGAAATTATCGAAATATTTTCTATTTTATTTCAATTAAATTTAATTTAATAAAGATTTTTATCATTTCTTATAACACAAGAAAGAACTTAAAAATAAAACTTAGAACTAATAAAAAAGAAGAAAAATGTTATTGAAATGGGGATTTTTGATTCTGTTCATTTTTTTGAAACATGAAGTGAATGGACAATTATGTGATAAAACGATTGAAATTGATATAAAGAAAGATTATGAAGATAGTAATAATTTAACATGGAGTACTACACAATATCCATGGAGTTGTAGAAATGGAAATTTAACAGGAAATAGAAATGGGATTTTATATTCATTTACAACAGATAATACTCCAACATTACTTAAAATATCAACATGTTATCCTCACACTAATTTTCCTGCGATTGTAAGAATCTTTAGTTCTTGTAATAAAATATTAAGTGGTTGTGGACAATCTCAAAATGATGACCCAGAAGGGGTATGTGGTGGGATATTATCTCGAATTACCTTCCAACCTGAAACAAATAAAAAATACTATATTTTAATAACAAGTACATCTAATGTTACGGGGTTATATACTTTAACTGTACATCCTTATAGCCCTAATTCCATTAAACAAAATAATTGTTTTTATCAATTAGCATTAAATTTAAATATTCCTTCTGTAGTTGATGATAGAATAACAGAAGACTGTACTATTTCAGATATACCAAATACAGATTTGAGTATTTCAGGAAGATGGTATTCATTTACTCCTAAATCAACATCTATAAGAATTGATACTTGTAATAAATATACATCATTTCCAACTACAATTTATCTTTTTAAATATGACCAAAAATTAATTAATTTACAATATATTGGTTCAAATTCTAATGGGTGTGGAACATTGGCAAGTTATGATGCACAAAATTTAATACCAAATGAATTATATTATATTGTAGTAAGTCCAACAGGTGGTGTGTTAAAACAACAACGTTCATTTCAATTACACATTTATGATGAGTCTCAATATGGGGATTGTTCTACAGCATTTGGAATAACTCAATTTCCATTTTATATGAATTTTAATATATCAACAAATCCAGAAGTAAGTTATACAAGAAATAATGGAAAAAATGTAACGGGTAAAGTAATTTTTTTTAGCCTTGCAGGTGATACAAATAAATATGTTTTTACTACATTTTATACCAAATATTTTTCTGAAGTTACTGAAACAATTATTGGATATAATAATTATTGTGGTAACTTTAAAGAAGGTACTTTTCAAGGTAAACATGAATATGCTATTGTTCAATCAGAATATAATACTAATATTATGTTACAAGTAATTTGTATTAAAGAGCCTTGTGAAATTAGTGTTTCTGTATTATCAGTTACTGGAGTAACTAATGGACAATGTGAAAATGCTCATATTGTTTCATTAAATGAAAATGAAAGTTATTCTCAATTTGTTGGTTCATCATTATTACCAAGTTCAATAATTGGATGTTCTCAAGATCTAGAAGAAATGCAAGGAAGTTGGTACCATTTTATTCAAAATTCAGAGGATACTATTACTATTGGCATAACTCCATATCTAGCTGAAGAGTTTATGTGTTATTTAGAAGTTCATGATAAGTGTAATTCTACTTTATGTCTAGAAACAAGTTATTCAACAGTAGATATTAAATATAAAGAATTTTATGTATTTGCAACTTCATATACAATTTATATGCCAGCTCAACATGGTTACTTCTTGTTTTGGGCATTAAAAAGTAAAGAGAATATTGGAAAATATCCATCCAATCCAATTGTCATAGAATCAATTCCATTTACTAAAATGGTAGCTCTACCTTTTGAAATCGAAAATTATTGTAGTGAAGAAGAAAATACAAAAACATATCACTATGGAGTTTGGTTAAGATACTCACATGATCCATCATTTAAATACACAGCCAGTACATGTGGAACGGAGTCTAATTTGTTAACGAATATTACATTATTAAGTGATCTTAGTGGTCCTGAATCACTTGAATGTATTCATGGAACGTCTTCTTCATGTGGATTTGGACATTCAATAGATATTTCAATAGATCAAAATGTTAATAGTTATATTGGTATTATTTCAACAAATTTAGGAGTAACTAGATTTTCATTGTATTATGACCAAAAAGCTACTGACAGTAGTTGTAAATTTGCATCTGTAATAAGTGAAAGTAGAAATATTAGAGGATTTACATCACGTGGTACCACTTCAGAATCAAAATGTAGAGAAATTATTTCATTAAAAGGGATTTGGTATTTACTTGACCTTTCAAGACCCGCTAATGTTACTATTCAAATAAACGCTTCTAGCTCCTTTAAAACTGCTGTAGAGATATATGAAAGTTGTGAAGTTATTTATAATGAATCTGTACCAAAAGTATGTATTGACCAAGCAAATTGTGTTACTTCACCTATTGGAAACAATGGGTGTTTATTAAGTATTCGTTTAAATACAGGAAAAAAATATGTCTTTGTAGGAGGAATGAATGCAAATGACTACGGGATATTTGAGGGTTATGTTGATATTCAATATGACCCAAATGATGAATTAAAACCTCATACACATCTTATGTTTTGGAGTATTTTTGGAGGTATTGTATTTTTACTTTGGATTATTTCTCTTCTTCTCTTAATCATTATAAAGAGAGTTAGAAAGAATGTTACTTCAAAAAAAGGAGAGAATGAGTATTTAAAACAAAATTTGATAAAATCAAATCATGAAGTTAATATAAAAACAATTATTGATAATTAAAATGTTATTAATGACTATTTATTTGTTTTTATTTATTGATTTTATCTTTTTGTCTATTTCAGAAAGTTCAATTGAAAAATACATTAAAAAAAAAGTAATATTCTAGTTAATTTAATTTAAAAACTTCTAATTGGAAAAAGTATCAAAGGAAGAACTTATTTTAAAACAACAAAATAGAGTAGAAAGTTGTTTTACAATAAGTTGGATTATCATGAATAATGAATAAAAAATGAAAGGATTATAAGAAAATAATAAGTTTTTTTTAAAAAAAACTTTGAATATTCCTTTAAAGAATAACTTTTCAATATGAAAAGAAAAACGCTTATTTTTTTTTTGACTAAAATTTAAGAAAATGACATATAGAATTAAAAAAAATAAACTTATTTGACATGGAAGATGAGTTTGATTTAATACATAATATTAACTTAATAAAAAGAATAAATTAAATAGTAGAGATGTTATATTACTTAAAGTCTTATTAATTGGAGATATTTCAGTTGGAAAGACATCACTTTTATTAAGATATTGTGATTCAACATTTAGTACAACATATATTACAACAATAGGTGTTGATTTTAAAGTTGCTACGATGAAAAGAAATGGTCGTACA